AACTGAAATATCAAATTGTAGACCCCCTTATAGAACAAAGGGAAAAAAGCCACCTTGGTAAAAATCTGAAAGCTTTTAATTGATGTTAATAGAATTTTTCTAGTTTTCATCTTCATTGACATGTTTTTGGTAACTCAAACTGAATATATGTTTTGCAACCTACCTGCTCATACAGGATATTAGGTCTCCAAGTCTACAGGCCAGTTTGATATTTATGGAAGGGAAGGGGGTTTTCAAATTTCTTCAAACTGATAATGCTTTTCTTCACATGAGCCACAATTGAGAGACCTGCATAGGTGGTCTGAGCTAGTAATCCCCCTTACCCAGAGCCACACTGGAGTCACCTGGAGGTCAGGGGTTGGGGGAACATTTACAAAATACCAACTTCTGGGCTCTCCCCCAGAGATGCTGAGTATATCACTCCCCTGCTTAAAAACCCACCAAGCTCTAAATATTCAAACTCCCTGGCGTGGACAAAGGCCCTTCTGCTGTGGTCCCACTTTATCTCCCCAGTTTCATTTCTTGCCTGTCCTGACTCACCATGAACCCTACAGAAAAACCACTCTGTCCTCTCAGCACTCAACACAACGGTCCTGCCTCCGGGCCCTCGCACTGGCTGGTGTCTGCCCAGATGTGCCTTCCCACCCTCCATTCCCTTCCCCACCAGGAAGCCTCCCGCTGTCAGGAAGGACTCACCAGTCACCCCGAACCTGTCTTCCCAAGTCCCACAGGCTGGGACACATCACTGCCATTACCACCCTTTGTTTACATCTTGCCCTCGCACTAGCCAGCAAACCCACCTGGAACAAGTGCGTAGTGTATCAATTACCTCATAGAAAAGAACAGTTCTCTGAGGAGGTGAAATCACCCTCATCAATCCACACATTCTTATAAGCTGCTATGGAAACAGATTGCTAATCGCTACAGTGAAAGGATTCTTCCCAATTTGATTCAGAAAGAGCTTGCATGTCAACCAGACCAAAATGAAACTGTACCAAAACTGGGTCAAGTCCTGTTATATTTGGATTCACAGCAGCCCTGGAGGCTGCAAGGCTTCTCGGCTTCCTGGAGGTTTTTACCTTTAGTGACAGATGCAGAGGACAGGGGTCACTTTGTGTTAGATGACAGGCTATGATACAGCCCGGTCATGAGAACTATGTGAATAGTACCCAATTGTGAAGACTCAGGAAACAACTCAATGTCGAGGTTGGGGATGTGGACAAAAATTAAGGAATATAAGAAATGGCATCAGCACATAAGTACTAAATACTAGACAGCGCTTGATATGATTTTTAAAGAAATTGTGTTGGGGTGTTTTCTTTTACCAGCTAGCTAACGATGGCATGCATGTTACCTGAAAAGTGACGAATAAAACAGGAAGCACTGCGACAGAGCGTGATGCCAGCAGGTATGCTAAAACTGACATGCGCATTGAATCAAATTGTTTGAAATTAGATTTTTAAAATTCAAACTAAAGCTGTGATATTATTTTCTTGGAAATTTATTTTGTTTTCGTTCTAATTTTAAGAATAACCAATTCAAGCCCACAGGCACTTTTACCCAGAATCTGGGTCTGAGGGCTGGGCATGTGCACTCACACCTGTCACGACACTCGGCACATGAATAAAGTTTCCCACCCTCTACCTCCAACACGCCTGCTTGTCTACGCCTTCCCGGGGGGCCCTCACTTAAAAAGACCTCCTGCTTTAAACTGCCCTGATCAAGAAAGAAACCATTTTCCCACTGAAAAGTGTATCAAAGACAAACAAATGCAAACCATAGCTTCAGATCAAAACAAGATAATCAGGGTTCTGAGTTCTAGGTCAATTAAAGCAGTATGACACTTTATTGTAAATCGCTGTAGACTTTTCACAGGAAATGTATGCTGTGAGATTATTTGAAAAGATCACAAGGAAACAGCTTGATGATCCCCATTGTTATTTTCAAGACACCTGGAGATGCAGCAACCCAGTGGACAGACCGGGGCAGACTCGAACCTGCGAGAGCTCGCCCTTGGCGGCTTGGGCCGCCATCTCCCTTTGCCTCCCCTTGTCCTGGCAGGGCCCTGTTTTCAGCTCAAACCTCCCGTGGCCTGGCAAGCACGGTCTCGTTTCCCTCAACAAAATAGGAAGCACGTTAGATTCTCAAGTGCCCCACCATGAAAAATGACAATAACCCATATTTCACACTCTTCCTCTGAAAAGGTGTTTTTAAAAAAATTTTTGCCAGTTGCCCTTAGTTCTATGTTAGAAGTCCTATAACACTGTCATTTCACAATTACGTATTTTAAAGTGCATTCTCTGTGATAAAAACCACCACAGTAGGAATTTAAAAAATAATAATGTTACCCTCTGTTCCTAAGAAACAATAAAGCACAGAGAAGTACGGCAAGATCCGAATCTGGCCTGCACTAATGCAGCATGAAAGAACAGTTTTAAAAGGACAAGGAAAAGGGTACATTATCTCATTTGGGGGAGGAGGAGAGTGAAGGAAATGAATTAAGGCCACAACAAAATGAAACTGAAAAATTGCTAAATGAAGCTGTGAGTGGGGAAAATGAAAAATCAATGACGGAACAGAGGGGAAAAAGGTACATTTTTCATCTTCATGAGCTTGATTGGGTTTGTAGAAATTCATTTTCAATTAATGTGTCTTATGGCATTCAGCCAGGCTAGATATGAACAGGGCACATATTTTAATCAATTTTTTCTATTAAGTTTGAAGTAATATACAATAATAGAACTATACCATTCAAAAGGATCCGTTGAAACTGGCTTCTGAGGTAAAATAATCTAATTTGGTTTGATTCCTACCTTACATTAAAGATAACCCAACTTCTCTTGAAGGAGAGGAAGAGCAGCCCGAGTCTCCCGGGCGCCTACGCATGACCGGGCTACAGGACAGCAGGCGTGGATGAATACACGGGCTCTGCAGCCTCTGTGCATTCGCGGGCAAGGAAGAAAGGTTTGCACTGGGCACCACAAAACTGGGTACTCCGTCTTCTGGGTTAGCTCGTTACCCTCCGAAACAGCCCTAAGAAGGGTCATCCCCACAGAGGAGAAAAACTGAGGTTCCTAGAACTTCACCAGCCCTTCACCCCTCAACGATCACCTGTGGTCACCTGTACACTGGATCCAGCGTTAGGGACCGGGAGCACAGCGGTGAGCTGGGGAGACTTGGTCTCCACCTTCACAGAAAAAAAGTACCAGTGAGGGTGGCAGGCAGTAAATGGGGGGAAATGCACAAGTAAGTGCACTACAGGGAACAGGCAAGGTGGTGTTTGGTACCCCCCAATATAGCATGCACCTGCCGAATGTGATGGGGTGAGGGAAAGGCTCAGGCCACAGGGCTCATGACCAACTTGCCCGGGTCTTCCCAGATGTTAGCACTGAGGTCTCATGTGCCAGGAACTTCTCATTCACAGGCAAACCAGGACAGTTGTCACCCTAGAACTTGATGCTGGCAGGGCTGAAGATTTAAACCTGCACCGTCCGATGCCATTCACACCACACCCATCAGACGGCTGCCTCCGTCCTCCCTGGGTGACAACCCCTGGCTGCCATGCTGCCCAGAAAGTAGGCCGGGCTGGGAACAAAGTTGGCAGGTGACAGTTCCTTTGGCAAAGGATTTTCTGGGGCCCTAAGTCTTTAAAGCTGTTCTTTGCCCTTCTGTGACTTCAGAGGAGGAAGATGGGATGGAAAAAGGGTGCTCTCAGCTTCTTCTGTGCTTCCCTGGATGCAGGCAGGGTCAGGGACAAAAGATCACACACTACACAGGACTATCCAGGGAGGGAATGATTTCGGGTCAATGTAATGAGATGTACCCAGGTCCACAAAGCTGGTGCTAAAAAAAAGTTCCTTAAGTTCAAGTGCCCTGAATATGGATGGACCCTCACCTTCACTGGCCAGGACCCTCCTGGGAGCTGCCTAACTGTCATTCCTGTCCCTTTCCCCCCCTAATTGCTCAGCACCCCCTGAAGAGACATTAGGGAATTGAGAGCAAAGAAGTAAAGGACATTTTCTCAGCTTAGTGCTGATAACCCACCACAATTGGTCTCAGCCTACACTCCCAGCCTCTTCATCACAATTCCCTCCCACAGTCCAGTCAAACTAGATTAGTGCTCCTTTAACTCATCCAGCACTTAGGTTTTTGTTGTATGCTTATTCCATATTTTGTCTGGTATGTCCTTTTCCACCCACGCAATCCCTGCCTAGAAAAATCCAATCCATCCTGCAAGACTCGGTCAAATATCACCTCCTCCCTAAAGACTCCCACCCACACAGAATCGGTGAACATGCATTATGTCAGTCACTCCTCACAACAACCTCTGAAGCAGGTGCTATTATCATTATTTCCACTTTGCTGATAAGGAAACTGAGTGTTGGGAAGAGTGAGAAACTCACTAAAGATACAGAGCCCAGCCAGGAACAGAGGCAGGACGCCAGCTCAGATTTCATTCATTACTCAAAGTCTGTGAGCCTTACTGCTGTCTCCGGTCTCCATGCCTGGGAACAGCTCATGGCCCTGTGCAAGACTCACCACATTCTGCCTTGGGTTCAAACAGGTTTTAGTGTCAATCAGAAAGCCCTATGCTGGCAGAAATTCATGTCCATTTTGGCATTTGGCTCCTAAAAGGTACTTCTTAAATGTTCACTAACTGACCCATCAGAGAAGAGCCCCCTAAACTGGACCTGGCTCATCACCCCCATTCCCACTCCTAAACCCAAGGACGGAGTTTCCTGCAGACTTCAGCACTGCGCCAGGAGAACAGAAGTATTTAAAGACAGTGGCACAGGGGAAACAGCTCCAGTCTGATAATGACGGCACGAAAAAAAAATCAGGGGCAAGGAAAGACCATTCAATCGATGCTGTGAGAAAAACATCCTTCCATGATCTCCCACCCCGCCCCCAAAAGTGCAGCCCTATTCATATCATGTATACAAAAAGTAAATTCCACAGGGATTATTATTTGTTCAACAAACATTTATTCAGCGCCACCTATATGCCAGTGACTATTCCAGGTGTTAGAGACACAGCTGGGAACAAACAAACAAAAGCCACTGCCCGCAGGGAGCTCACATTCTGGTGGAAGGTAATAGAAAACTCATAAATAAGCAGAACAGGTAAGTGTAGGATATAGGACACGCTAACGGGACAGAGAGCTGTGGAGAAAGAGTAAGAAGGAGGATGGAGGTATGAGCAGAGGACAGGAGGGGAGGGCTATAATTAAAGACCTACAGATAAAAACAAAGCTCTAAAACTATTACCAAAAAACCCCACATGACAAATAAACAAGACACACAATACAGCATAAAAACATTCATAACTTTATGTCAAAATTAAAAAACTATAATATACAAGACATCATAAACAAACAAAAAACATTGACTCAAAGAAGATAATGGCATTGAAATATTTTTTGATAAATGATATTGATAGTATACAGAGTTCCTACAAATCAACAGGAAAAAAATGACAAACAACCAAAGAGAAAAATAAACAAAGATATGAACAGCCAATTCCTAAGGTTGGAGGCCTGAAGAGTCATAACCTAAGCTTAGGAAGACAGGCTAATGAGCAGTAATCAGGCTGACGCAAATTCAAATCAAAATGAAGAGATACCATTTCGCAATGGCAAAAATTACAGTCCACCAGTGCCAGGAGGTGGGGAGGATGTGGAGACTCGGCCTTCTCACGCGTGACGAGTGGCAGTGCCTGTGTACTTTGGAGAGCAACTGGGCAGCATCAAGCAGAGTGAAACTGTGCCTACACCCAGGCCCTGGCATCCTCCTCTAAGTATAGTCCCCAGTCAGAGAAGCACTGAGACATGTTTAGTATTGTTTGTAAAAATAAAAATTTAGAAAAAAAACTAAATGTCTATCAATAGGATACATTACAATATATTCATATAATGGATAATTAGACAGTTATAAGGAATAATTTATTCTATATGTAACACCATAAAGAAGTTGCTATATAATATATATATCTTTGCTTATTTACATATTAGGAATAAAAATTTACATACATGTTTAAACATAAACTAAGCTGTATACTCGTAATAGACAAATATGTAGGTAGTAAAAGCATCAACACATGGTCTGCATAGAGACCAAACTGCCTCTGAAGAGGGAGGAAGGGGGAGGGAGGAAAAATATCAGAACTGGGGAGGAGAAAAAAGAGAGCCTCCTCTTTGTCTGTAATGTTTTCTTTTATTTGAAAAGATCTGAAATATGCCAAAACGTTAACATCTGTCAATTCTACATGTGAGTGCCAGGGTTTTTGTTTTTATCAGTCTCTATAATTTTCTGTATTTAAAATTGTTGCAAATTAAAAAAAAAAGAAGCAGTAAAGAATAAATGCTGGTTTTGCAGTCAATGGACCCAGCACCAACATCATTTGTTAAGTTCACACTGTATCCCAATCCTGGCAGGAAAGGGTGAACTGAGGGACACAGGCAAAGGCAAGGAGGGAGGAGCAGGGGGAGGGAGGCCCTGTCAGGTGGGGACCCTGGTCAAGGAGGTCGCCAGCTAGCCTAGACCAAGCGCCAGTTCTCAGGGAGGCACGTGAGGTGCCAAGGGTGTAAAATTTTGGAGGCACTCTCAGGGGCCTGCGGAAAGGCTGGGCACCTCACCCACACTCTGTACCACAGAATAAAGCCCATCAGGCCTCCAGGTACTCAACTCACTGCCTGTCACCCAAAAGGGGGATGAGTCTCCAAGGGCAGGAGGAGAGCACAAGGTCCTGGGAGAGTGGCTGACATGGTGGCCCACTTCCTCTACAAGTTATCACATTTCCATTGCATACTATTTCATTTTTTTTGAAGCTGGGTAACAAATCTATTCCACTAGAACAAATGCCAGGAACTTTTCCACCAGAGACTTAGAAAAATATGAGGGAAGTGAACATACGTATCCCTATAAATGGTGTAGGTCACGACACTAGAGACATGTAGATTAGCAATTCTCAGATCTGACTCACATCTCCCTGGCAGAAGTCTGATACCCAGCAGAGCATCTGGGGACCTTCACTTGAACAGAATACCAACACAGGTTAACTGCATTAACAGTTCCTTACTAATACAGAAAATTATTCATCTGCTTCCTTTCTCATTCTCTGCCTATTTACTTAAGCTGAACAGAAGCGACTCAACGAAAGATCAAAGACAACTATTGACAAGAAAGCATCTGCCTGTCCACTTGCCAGGAAGAAGTGGTGAGAGCAGAGAAGGACCCAACATCTAATTGAGTCTTATCCCCTTAATGAACTCACTTGATTAGACCAGTCTACTAGCCTACATGGGCAAATACCACCCAAGGACTATTACCACCCCTGCTGCTACTGCTACTACTAACTAGATTTCAGCAACACTAAATTTTGAGGAGATATCAGCCCCAGTGGCTGTCTCAAGAAGACCCGCAGAAAAATAAAGCAGGTATGAAGTATGTGTATTTCACTTCAATATATTTTGATGAATATATTTCTCTCTTCATCAGATATAATTCTCCTTTTCATGAAGTTAGTTGAACTGTCTGGTCAAGCAAAAGGCTTGTGGTGATAGAAGCCAACCGAACTTCTTAAACAATCGAGAAGAGGGCTAAGTTGGCTAGTGCTGTTGATCTCCATTCAGTGAGACATCCACGGGGCCACCTCTCAGACACAAACATAATCAAACTACATGGATACTCAGCCGCTTCTGCAATTTCTGGGGTGCGATCTGGTGGGGAGCACCTCCTTCCCGGAGCACTGGAGGTCTTCCAGCCCAGTTCCCATCTCCTTAGCGGGTGCACTTGGCAGCGTTTCCACGCGTGAGGCTCCACCGTCCACGATCTTAGGACCAGCCTCCACCTGGCACTTTCTGAATTATATTTTAGTGCTGTTTTTCATCGCAGCTCCTTCTTTGATGTCTAGGAACCCAAGTTTCTAAAAATACTCTGTGGATCTTGGAGTTCTTGTGACTCTGGAAGTGTGAGGCTGTACAAGTTGAGGATACACAAAAATGGTCCTTTCACAATTAAGAGCCCTACATGGTCAAGTTTTCCTTCTAATAGCATGTCCTTCCTGTTTGTTCATCAGCTCATCAGACACATGCCACCTCTTCCCAGCAGAGAGAGTACAAGTGTTCTTCTAATCACGACAATAAAAGGAATCGCTTCCAACCCAGGGCAGGCTACCATTTTGTCATCTTCCAAAGAGCCGGAGACTAAATCTGGAGAAGAGCTCATGTGACATGATCTGGAAACAGTTCAATGAGTGGATTAGGGTTGTGGGCTCAGGGCTACGGCTCCTTCCCCCACCCCCATGTGGCTAATTATCAGTGTTGGACGTTACTCTGAATCCTCTAGACACAGGGCATTTGGCAAAAACGTGCTTTTGTGCTGTACATTTCAGCACGCTGCATAATAATTTCAAAATAAACTGTGTGCTAACAAATGGAAGATTTAAATGGGGGAAGACCCATTAAAAATGGAAGATTCTTAGAAGGAAAAGAGTTAATTTTTTAAGTTGCTTTGTGTATGAATGTTCTACTCAGAGGACAGATGGCCACACTAGAACACAGTGCAAAGCACAGGAGGAGGAGGGAAGCTCACCCCGAGATCCCAGGTGGCCAATAAGACTCCCGAAGGAGAGAAAAGCAGCCCAGTGGGTTTGCTTTTATTCCATTTAACATTACTTTGGGGTTACACAGCAGGAACACACTCATCTGTAACAATAATAATAAAAGTAACTAATGTTTATTGGGTATTTCCTTTGTTTCTAGGAATATGCTGTAAGTACTTCCTAAAGTTGATCCTTGAACAACGCAGGTTTGAACTGTACAGGTCTACTTATATGCAGATATGTTTTCAATAAATACTTAAAATGTTATTTCTGTTCTTTATGATTTTTTACTAACGTTTTATTTTCTCTAGCTTAGTTTATTATAAGAATACAGCATATAATACTTATAACACGTGAACACTTATAACATAATATGTGTTAATCAATTGTCTGTTATTGGTAAGGCTCCTAGGCAACAGTAGGCTCTTAGTAGTTAAGTTTTGAGGGAGTCAGAAGTTATACATGAATTTTTGATGCATGGGGTAACCTGCACTTTGTTCAAGAATCAACTATACATCATCTCAACCCTTAATAAAACATCCTTTCAGGTACAGACTGTTATTAATCCTGCTTTACAAACAAGAAACTAGTAACTTTTTGAAGGTTCCACAACTAGTAAATGCAGGTATGTCTGCTTCTAAAAAATCAACACTCATCTCCATTCTAGGCACACCTGCGTTGTATATACACTGAAGGCTCTCTAGATGTACTTTTCTGGGGCCTCTACTATACGGGTGCAAACAGATTCTGGGCCTGGGAGATGAGTCATGTGGACTTGAAAAAATAAATGAGAAGTCCTGCTTTGCTACTGGCTCAAGAGCCAGACACTAGTAACTCAAACCTCAACGCTCAGAAGAGTTAGGTACTTATCATCCATCCTCCCCCATCCAGTTTGTTTCCACAAAAACAGTTGCATTCTAACAAGAGAGTCACCCTTAAAAAATCTAAGGGATGATAATTAAATACTTTCAAAACCATTTCTTAGGAATTGCAAAAATGTTCTGCCCTGTCTTGCACTTGAGAAGTGGTCATTGTTAATACTATTATTTAAATAAGGTATTAATTATGTCTTTTTCTTTCTAAGGAAGGTTCATGAGGCCAAGACTAAGGCTTCTGTGTAGACAGAAGTGAGTAACTTAATCCAGGGCACAACCAGACATGTGCACACACAAGCACTCGGGGAAGAGAATCCAGGGCAACCACGTTTGGTCTCTCTGTTAGTGGTGGGTTCTCAGCTTCCACTGGAATTGGATTCTGTCCCTTTAAGTCTCTACTACCTATTTAACAAGTGTCTCTAAATCTTCCTGCCTTAGTAAGAACTTCTCTCTAGATGGACATGGATAGCCTCTGGGAAATTTTACCATCTGGACACCACCAGGCCAGCATGGCTATTAAGAGTGAGCTGTCTGGATGGGGCTGATAGGACCTTCAGAGGGTCACACGCTTGGACCAGCCTCCCACTTCAGTGCTCCTGGTCCCTGCTGACTGGTCTCCCTGGATTTCTCCCCCTGAACCTTTCCTACCCCAAGTTTACTACCAGCTTTCCCCCTCAGGCACAGAGGTTTCTTAAGGACCTAGACCTGAAAACCCAGCATGGAAACACATACCACTGTTCTAAGAATACAGAACGTCAGTTCTCAATCCTGGCTGCAGAGTGGAATCTTGTGGGGCCTAAAAAACCAACCACCATCCCCCCATGCCCAGCCCCTCCCTCCTACTCTTATCTGCTGGGTTCTGGAATTTTTTTTAAATTTCCAGTGATTCTAATAAGCCATCTGCATGGAGAAGTGCTAACAAGAAAATCAGTTCATTGCACCTTTGCACTCATTAAACGTCTATATTATAGAAAGGGTTGGGGAGTGCATTTGCTTTCTGCAAAAGAAAATTCTAAAAAAATAATGCCTCCTCTGAAACTGAAAGGCAACCTCTCCAGACACTTTCTGTTAGAAGAAACATGTCACTGGTCACAATCACAATGTGCAACTAGAAGGAAGTGATAAAATAAAAGGATGCTAAAGTTGAAGTGAAAGGGTAAAGGAACTCTTATTAGATTGCTATTTATTCAGCTGAATAGTATCATTGCCGGTTGGCAAAACAGTGAATCCACCCATTTTTAAGGGTGAATAAGAATTTGTTTTCTCCTCCAGATAATTTCCCCCTTGGCGAAAAAGCTGCTTTGGCTGGCTGGGGACTGGACCTTGGTGAGTGCAGGCAAAGAGGCATGAAATGTCCCTGCTGACTGAAGACACAACACTTACAGATGTGTCAGGGTGTTCACTGCTCTGGACTCAGTTCCTCCGTGAGCCCCTGGTTCCTTTACTGGCAAACTCAAGAATGCAGCCTGCTTCAGGCAAAGGACCTAATCCAGGGCGGCTTTTTGAGAAGAGCATGAAACCCAAGCACAAGAATAACGGACTCCAGCCAGGAAGATCCAGAGCCCCTCTGCACTGCTCCCCACCGTGCACCGGCCCTGCATGGGCGAAGTGCAGGTGGACGGCTGGGGAATGGTGAATGAGTGAAATTCCCCACAGGTGCTCTTTTTTTCAGTCCCTCTAGGTTTTCTGGCAAACCCTTGAAAGTCTAAAGGACCTTATGTGAGGCTTGTGGTTTTTTTTGTTGTTGTTTGTTTGTTTGTTTGTCAGAGCTAGAACCAGTTAGAAGAACAAGCGATGGAGGGAGACAACCAGTCCCTGACATCCATTCTTAAAGGAGACTTCATTCAGAATAAAGATCTAGCCTAGGGAGAGTATTTGGTCCCATACCTCACACAAAATTCATTGAGTTGTCTTTTCCAGTGAACTTGACCCCATTACATACACATTAATCCTTCATTTCAAAAAGGTTTTCTTACACACCCAAGTCCTTACTGAAATATTCTGTACCACAGAATGAAAATCAAGTCATTATTGAGCTATGGATTATAAAACCTAGGCTGGTCACATTTTATTCAAATTATTATTATTGTTATTAAGAAATTACACTCTGCTGAGGTGAAAGGAAATATATTACTTAACATTTAAGGATTCCAAGAACCTCAGTAATAATACCCGGATGAACTGAAAAAAGCAGCACATCACTTTAGTAAACTGAGTTTCTTCATAGACATTGGGACTAAAATGATGGGGACTGGATTCCCATTGTTGGCGAATGGGAAGCTATCACACTAACAAGCTTTCGGGCTTCCTGAGGGGGAAGGAAAACTGTCCCTAACATTTGCTGCCTCTGTTTCTAGGTCAAATTTGTCTTAATATCTGGGCAGCTAGAGTTCATGAATAAAAATATATTTCTCTTCTAAAGTCACAGTTCAAGGTTAACTAATTCACAAGTAACTAGTTCAGTAGTCTGGTTTTTCAAGATTTGGTCCAAAAGTCCTAAAGTGATTTAGTTATAGTTTTGCTGATTTGGGTCATTGTGAAAAGTAATAATAGTGCTGAGATCATAACACAGGTGCAGCCTAGTAAGCAAGACAGAATTCTTTATTTATGAGAAGCTTCTACCTCAATTTCTTATCTCAAAAAGGATACACCCAGAGTGAAAAGCTAAATACCTTCTCACGGCAGCCAGTGTTAGAAATGTTTTCATTATGTTGAACCAAGAGCTGATATTTTCTTTTTTGCAAGTGCCACCCAGTGGTTCCAGACTGGCCTTGCATTGCAACACAAAACCAAAACATACTCCCTCTTCTCAATGACTGTTACCTAAGAGTTACCTCAGCTCTCACGGCTCTCCTTGGCCATCTCTTCCCCAAGGCCTTCAACCATTCCCTGAATTGCTTAAGTCCTCAACTCCTTTCCAACCTGATCCTACTCTTCTGACTGTGCTTACTTGTCAATATCCCTTTTTCCATGTTTCTAACTGGTAAAAAAAAAAGTATTCACATAAATGGCTACAGCAATTAAGGTGTTAAACCACCCTTTTGTTGTATAAGTTGACACAGTGTACTGGACAAACACATTAATTTTTACTATCTGATTTAGATTTCAAATTCAGAATAAAAAGTCTCTTTCTCTAAGTCTCTATCCACTGTTGAAATCCAGCAGGCCCCTGATGGTGCCACCCTAAATTTCAGCCTGTGATTTCCTTCCAATGCCTGGGTTTTCCAGGCGCATCATCGGCACTTAGAGAAGCTCACCGGGGAGACAGACATTCAGTCACAGGTAGAAAAGCGAGGCATGGGCAGTGATCTTTACATGCTTCCTTATTTTCAGATGTAGATTTCCCCCACTCCCTTCAAATCGGTAGGTCCATTATGTTCCAGAAGTAAATTAGAAAACAGAGAATCCTAAACTGCTTTGAAAATGTCTTTTAAAAAAGTATCTCTGATTTCCATGCCAGTTGTAAACATTACAGATAACAACGGAATCAGAAGCCAACCAGTCTGAGGTTTTGGTCCCTGGTTCTCGAACATCAGCTAGGAAAACAATACAGACCACCACCCTGTGGTGAGGTGGGGGAAGTGCAGTGTGCGGCATTCAAGGAGCCACAGGCAGGAAAGACTAGCCCTACCCTAGACTTCACGCGTGTGAAATTCAGAAATAGGAAAGCTATGTTCTGGTAGCCATGGCTCCCTGACATGCTGATTGTGACAACACGATGCTTTCCCAAGGGAAACACACTCCTGGCACCGAGCCGGTGTCGAAATTGGGCAGGATCTACCTGTCACCGTTGCTGGCAGCACTCCCGCACAGGCGTGCAAAGGGACTGCGAAGGTGCTGCCTGGGTTCCTCACCCGAACCTCTGCTGCCCTTTCCCTTTTTCTCCTGCTCCCCGAGGCTTGCACAGAACCCAGCATAATACTCACAGGACTCCACACCGTGTGACTGGATTCCTCTTAGGGAAGCAGATTTTATCTCATGTATATATGCTTATCCTACACACAAGAAAGAAAGTGACCCTCCCCATCCTCACAATTCCCTGACTTTAATCCCACTCTAGTATCTCCAACATTTTATAATAATAAAATTATTTTACACTAAGAGATATACCTTTAAACTTCTATATGTGTCCTGTGTGCAAGTTATTTATTAGTAGATATACTTTTAATTTTAGTAACTCATTAATAAGAGTGGTAACTTTTCAGAGTACTGCTTTATATAAGGTAATTGGGGGGTTGTTTTTCATTTTTTTCCACTAGCAACCAAATGTTTAATTAAATTGAAAATGTTTTCCTTTGGGAGTTGGAGAATTAGATCCTAGAGAATTCTTACAGCCTTGTTAGTACTGACTGCTCTTTCATCTGACTGATTTCTTTATTGAGCAAGCAAAAAAGACGATAATATGTTATCAGCTTTATAGCAGCGTGAACCTTCTTCTATCGGGCAATCATCATGAGAGAGAGATTACATTAACACAGGTTAAAATAATTTTTTCCTCTTAGAGAAATGTAAATACTCAACTTACCTGTTTTTTTTTTTAATTTAGAAAATAGAACAGTAAACTATGCCCAGCCTACATAGCAGGTTACACACTTGGTTTCATACTACATAAACAGTTAAGGAGAGGAAGGGTGGTAGAAAAGTGAAAAGATGAATAATAGGAGGAGGAGGAGAGAATGAGAGAAGGCAGAAGAAAGGCAGAGCGGCAGACAGGAAAAGGGAATGAAAGAGAAACACCCGGAAATGAAAGGGTGAGCAGTAGCTAGGGGAGAGGCGGGCAGTGGGGAGCACAGAGGCCAGAGCTGAACTGAACTTTCCCTGTTGAACTTCCCTTCCGTCCTGGAGCTGTAGGCACCTATGGAGGGCACAGGGCATCGCTCTCCTTTGAAAGTGGGTGAGCTGTGTAGTGCACCTCACAGCTTTCTTAACTCCAACTTTTGATCTGGAGAAGGCTCCCTTTTAGAGGGACAGTCACCATGGGGGACATCTGAGAAAATTCCCCTCTGGGCCCAGATGGTAGTGACCTGAGCAAGCTTACTGTGAGCCACAGAAAACTGAGCTGAGACTCAGATCTGGCTCTAGGGCTGAGGGAGCAACCCCAGGCCCAGGACCTTTGACAAGGCTTACCTCCTCAACCATCTGCTTGACCTTTTTCTGCTGGCAATGCACCATGTCATCTAGATGTCTGATCCGTTCCCGGAGGCTGGCAGACGCCTCCTCCAGCTGCTGATACCTAACACAGATAGAAGAGACAGCAACTGAGTCCTGTACCAAAGCAGCAGCACCAGCACAGGAAGTCACTGCTTGAAAGGATTGTTGCTGAGAGCAAGGAAGGGAACTGCAAGAGGCACTCTTTAACGTGTGTGTATCCTATGTGACTACTCCTCAGCCAGCCTGCCATAGAACAAATACAGGACTCTTTTTCAAGTTTCCACTTGTAAGTTTTACCCTGTGTAAGGCCAGTTACTATACTGCCCAGGCACTGAGAGAGTATTTGTTGGTACCGCGTGCAGGTATGGAAGGTTCTCTGTTTTGTAGTGACTACAATATTGGAACATCAAGTGAATTATCTTGATTAGGAGAGCAGAGGAGGAGGGGCATCTAGCAACACAACAAAATATCTAAAAGCAGAGCTCCCAGCAGAGTCCTGGGAAGTCTGGAATTATCACTGCTCTATATATGATTACTTTGGGAAAATGGGAAACATGTTGAAAGACCTCCCTGCATCAGAATGGAGCAAACCACATCCTAAAACATTTCACACTTTGGTTTTAAAAAAGCAAAAATTATTCTCTGACTTTGCTGGTTTCAAAGAAACCAAAAGAAGCAGCAGAGGGACTCTCCAGTTCTTTGGCCTCTGGACCGGAGCACAGGGTCAAGGGTGTGGTGGCGAGCTTACCACGTCCCACCTCTGCCAGGCCCCTCCTCAGCACCACCTAAAGACCAGGGAAGATGTCTATAACGTCACAAACACTGAAATTGCATAAGAGGAAGGAAAAGAGATATTTTTTTTTCAGCAAATGATATGTGGCCAGCAATACACCCAACAGTTCCCTCATAGTAGCGCTGTGCGATGTGAGATGAGCGCTGTTATAATCATCACAATCTCCTCCTCCTTTAACAAAGAAAAGAATTCCCATTTTCCAGATAGGCAAAGAATCCCAGGGAGGTTAAGTAACTTCATCCCAACCTTGTTCTCCTTCACCAGAGGGCTATGCATGGCCTCTCGGCCTTTCGATCTAGAAGAGACCAGACTGTGAACTGCTTCCACATTTTCCACACCAGGCTTTATATGCTCAGAGACAGGGGACAAGGTGATGTTTGACCAAGCAATGTTTGGAAACAAAGAAAGATATTTTAAAATTAGTTTCCGTGACAACAATATTAATCATAGTTGATGTGTCTCATCCACAAGGTGCATCCTGTGGAGTTCAAGGTTACGGAGAACCTTGATAGACTGAACTTTTGCACTTGTGACATTGCAAAATGGAACTGTGTCCCACTGCACTAACAACCAGCCACAGGCCATGGGACATGGCTGCTAAGCTCCTAAAGAAACCAGCCTCCATACTGGAAGTGCTCAAGCAACGTTTCTGCACGTGTAAGTCTGCAGGAAGAGATGACCAGAGGAGTGAAAAATGAAAGGGCCAAGTGAGTCCCCAAACACACGGCATGCCCACCATCAAATTCCATTACAAGATAAAGGGTGTTGCATCTTACCTTTCGTTGTCAGAATCAGTTATTTCCCCTGACATTTCAGTTTCATGCTCCAGGAGCTGTAGTTGCAGCTGATGGCGTTCCTAAAACACACAGACACTATTTTCATCAATGGATTAAACCAAGTTGGACAGAGACTGTGTATCTCTATCAATTCCAGCACTAGTGAGTTCAAGTCCATATAAAACATCCCATGGGTTTTACACACCCACTCACCAGAGTCCAAACAAAGCTCAAAAATGCCAAATTTATTGGTGCGTTTATAGGTATATTTATGAATTAGAGCCAAACATCTCAGATAAAGCCATTCAAATATTCTGTCAGCCTAGACTCAGATGTTTTGTGAAATTTACAGTTCCAAATAATGATAATCAATGCTTTAAATCAGTGGCCTGTGACACAGCAAAATTCTTGATGATTTTCTCTATCATCAACAAAGAGGCTCTGGAAGTTAGCCTGTACACTAAGCTGGGGGCTGCTTACACAGGCATGTTCCCACGTAACACTGTGCTGTGGTAGGAAGAACAATGGCTCCCAACTATGTCCACATCCTACTCCTGGACACCTCTGAACGCGTTGCCTTACATGGAAAAGGGAACTTCGCAGATGTGATGAAGTTAATGGGGAAATCGCCCTGGATTATCCAGCTGGGCCCTTATTGGAAGGAAGCTTAGAGTCAGAGAGAGACAGAGACTGGAAGATGCTACATGCTTTAAAGCTGGGGAGTGGGCCATGAGTCAAGGAATTTAGGCAGTCTCAAGAAATCAAAAAAAAGGCTGGGAAATGGTTCTCCTCTTGAGCTTCCAAAAGGAACCCAGCCCCACCAGCCCATTGATTTTAGAATTTCTGACCTCCAGAATAATAAGATAACAAATTTGCATTGTTTTAAGCCACTAACTGTGGTGATTTGTTATAGGAGCAATGGAAAACTAATACACACATCAAACTGTGCATTAAGATTTGTAAACTTTGTTGTTTATATGTAAATTAGAAGTTTACCCAAAAAGCAATATAGAATCTGGACAATTACTTCTTTGGAGAGAGTGGGAAATGGTAATAAAAGCGTAGTGCCCCTCATAACCAAAATTATGCTAGAAATACATTATCAATGTTTGTGTAATAAATTTCCTTAAAACGAAGTTGACCAAATCCTGCTCACTGAGAGGAGATTGTTTTACTTTAGGCCCTCCTCTAAGCACTTCTGTGCCTCATCTTTATTCTCAGAAACACTCCCCTAATAAACTCTTACTCACTGTATAGATGCCAAACCTCTTTTCTGCCAAATTATTAAAAGCAAACCTTTGGAAAGTCAAGTCCCACAATGTCTGAAGCTGTATGCTGTGATACACCAAGGAACAGACCCAAGAGGTGGGAGCGGTCCGCCTCGACAGGAAGAATGTGTCCCCATAGACATAGTCAGAGTCATGAAGGAAGACCAGCTTTGGATGAGGTGCTGTTATCCTCTCTCAGTAAGTACAGCAAAAGCACATTCTTGCCGCCCAGCCAGAGCAGAATGCACCCCTTACCTCCGCGTGGTAGGCTATTGCCTAGAAGTTTAGTGATGAACCTTTCACAGGTGAGCCTCCCCTTCAGTCCCCCCAAAAAGCTGTCATAAAGTAGGCAAGGCCTAATTTATAGCATACTTTAAAAAATCAAGCCCTGGCTGGTGTGGCTCAGTAGATGAGCACCAGCCTGTAAACCAAAGGGTCTCTGGTTCAATTCCCAATCAAGGCACATGCCTGGGTTGTGGGCCAGATCCCCAGAAGGGAGCACATGAGAGGCAACCACACATTGATGTTTCTCTCCCTCTCTTTCTCCCTCCTTTCCCATCTGTCTAGAAAAATAAATAAAATCTTTTTTAAAATTCAGTATTTTTCTAAATTGAGGTAAACAAAATCATAAGTATACACTGCCCAATAATTTCTTACATTTGTATGTACCTGATCACCTGCTGAAACCACCACCCAGATCTAGGTGTAGAATATTATCTAATCTGTGGAAGGGTCCCTGGGAGAACATACTCCTTAAAAGACTGTTACTGACCAAAGAAAAGTGCTCTGAATACAATGCTCAAAAAGAGAAACTGAAAATTATTGTACATAGTAGAGAGGCCATTCAAAGGCACACAATTTGTCTTTGAGTGAAATCCAAAACTCAGTGCAAGCAGGACACAAACACTGCCTCCCTTCATGCCTGTGGACACGCTGTTCACATAGTGTGTGACAGATTTGGCACAATTCCCACTTGCAAAGATTTATCCCTGAAGGGGGAAGAGCAGTCAGTCGGTACCCTAATCTCAGCTAAATAAGGGAAACATTTCTCTAGGCTAAATGGAAAAGAAGATTTAGGGAAAGAACAATAAATTTTCAATCACTACAGAAAAAGCCATCAGGATTCAGGAAACACTTTGCATTACATTGATTCTGGCAGGGAGGGCCGGCCTTACCACCCCGCCTCTCCCTGCCCCCAGCCTCTACCCATACACCCCTCTGGGGGCTCCACAGGGAAATCAGGGGAAGAGTGGGGAACTCTGAATTACAAGGGTACAGAGAAGATAAGCTATAAAACAGATCGAACTTAAAAAAAATGCTGACTCTGGGCAGACACTTAAGCAAGTCTATTAACAACATGAAAGTCAGAGCCCCTGATTTTTGAGCCCCTACTATGCATATGCCAGACACTGCACTTAACACTTAGTATGGGTTTTTCTTATTACTCCTCACAAAAGCCCTAAGAATAAGAATTGTGATTATCAGCCTTTTACAGAAGAGGAGACTGAGTCTGGAAAAGACAAGCCGCTGCCCACAACCAGAAAGAGAGGCAAGACTCAGACCCCAGGTCTGTCTGACTGTAAAACCTATATTCTTTTTTTAATAATTTTTTATTTTTCAATTACAGTTGACATACAATATTATATCACTTTCAGGTGATTAGACATATAATTTTCAAAGTGATCATCCCAACAAATCTCATACCCAGCTGTCACCACACACAGTTATCAGAATATTACTGACTGCATTCCCTGTGCTGTACTTCACATCCCTGCGACTGTTCTGCTGCTACCAACTGCCAACTTGTGCTTTTCAACTCCTTCACCTTTTTCGCCCATTCCCACAGCTCTGCTCCCACCCGGTAACCACCACACATTCTCTGTATCTATGAGTCTGTTTCAGGGTCTTCTTTAAGAAGAAGAAAAAAGGTAAAAATATGAACAATAAAATGGCAATAAATACATATCTATCAACAATTGAATCTAAAAAACAAAATAAATGAAAACCTATATCTTTTTGTGTGTGTGAAAACCTATATTCTTAATCACTGCAGGGACAGAGTCTCTGTAAGATAGTCTCCCAGCCCAAACCAGCCCCTCCCCCTACTTGCTCACTTGCTTCTTTATCCTGCAAGGCAATCTGTCACGCTTTGGGAGCATTTGTGTTAATATTCACCTTCTGCTCTTGGAGGAGAGTGGTAATATAGAGAACATCCTCCCAAGTTCTAGAACAGGCCCACGTTGCCTGACCTTCACTACCACCACCTCCAGCTATAACGGTGGGAAACTGGAACCCACCCCTCCCTTCTTTTGGTGTTGTTTCTGTCAGTGCTGACTCTGACTGATATGTAGCTTGTAGAGGAACAGCATGGTTGTATAATAATCTTAGGAACTAGTTTCAAAAGATACGGGTCCTGACCTTCACACATCTCAGCTCTGGGTGATTTGGTGACCTTCAACCATGGAGCCAGGATGACATGAAGTCATGATGATATAAATCCAGGATGACTAAACCAGGATGATGCACACGGGACCATCACCTGCCTTATCAGAACGGATTGTGCACGCCTGCACGTAAAGAACTCTGCAACCCCCTCCCTTGATCTCTCTGCTCTGTTCCCCTCTCCCTCCTTATAAAGCACCTTTGCCTCCAGCAAGAGGTGGAGATGGGCTTTGAGACGTGAGTCCCTCATCTTCTAGATGGCCGGCATCTGCAAATGAGCCACTTTCCTTGACATCAGCACCTGCCTCTCGAGTACTGACTTTCGTAGCGGCAGGCAGCTGGACCTGTGTTCCGTTACAGAACCAATACTGATGGTCTTAACCACGTCATTTATCTTCTCTTCAATAAAAGATAGGATTCTGTTTTCCCAAGGGCTACAGGTGAAATGGTAATTGACTCCTTAGGTGTTCAAGTCCTTCCCAAATAAAGACATTCCCTAACAGGGGAACCTGCAGCAAGCCCTGAAGCTCCACGGCACTGAATTTAATGCAGGTCTCACTCTGGTTAAACTTCACCTTGTCAGGGGAGGAGCTGAAGCTGCAGACATCAGGGGTAAGGAGACCTCTTCTCAGAAGAAAGCCCAGATGTGGAGCTTGCTCCCATTGTCATCCCCCTCCCTCCACCATCAGCCTGGAGAATCTCAGCACCTAGCGTGGGTACAGGGTGCTAATACGTCCCACCATCTTGGCAAGTTGCCAGTGTTCTGCAAACTCACATGCAGCTAGAGAGCCATTTTCCAGAAATCAGTCCCAACCTTGGCCCTCAGCTACCACCCCTCCCCCAGGAGTCAGCTGTCACCTGCAAAAGGTCACTCTCTCCTGTCTTTTTTCCCCTTCCTTCCTTCCTTTTCTCTTTCCACTCTCCACCCTTTTCTCCACTTCCTGCCTAACCTCTGGCATTCCCTTTCTCTAGGCCAGCTTCACTATCTCAGCCAAACTCCGGCCTTCCCCACACATCCCACTAGTCCCACCTTCGGCATGCCTACCCTACCCACAGAGAAGTGTGGTGTCCCTGACTCTCAGATGTGACATGTCAGGGAAAAGCTAACCCTTCAGACACATGCCCCAGAAACAACAGGCTTGGGGAGTGGACACAATGTCTAAATAGGGCTTGACCACTCAACAAATAAACTAAGTTTGTGCTGAGCGCCTGGCAAAGCAGGGCTGCTAAAATACTCACTTTTGGTAAATAATTTAATATTTAATGTTTTTTAAAGCATCAAAATAGTTACCACTGAAAAATTAGAACTTTCTTGGACTTCCTCATACTTTATTTTATAGTTTTGTCCTTTTTTGAACTCACACATTGCAGGGCTGAGAGGTGTCGGTGTCGAGGGGAGCTCAGACCTTCAGAGAGGCCTGCAGGGGAACTGCGGAAGTGCAGTGGCATCTGGGCACGTGGCAAGAGACAGAAACTGTGTCTGTTACCTTTTCCATGCGTTCGATCAGCCTGTCCAGCTCCCCGATCCTCTGGTCTTTCTCTTCTAGGCTGATCTCTGCCGCCTGCATCTTTTTATTGGCTTCTTCAATCGCTTTCAGAAAACTATTGGTTTCTTCCTGAAAAAGCAACACACTGTCCTCAGCAGAGCCGTGGAGTCTCTAGGCCACCCACCAGGGTTTTGCTAAACCACAGTGCCTCTTTAAATGCATGATCTTGGGGCCTAGATTTAGAACTCACAGATCATGAACTCAACTTCCATGATTCTGATTCTTCTCTATAAATAAAGACATATCACATGGCTTTTTAACACACCTATTTTCCCCCTTGAGTCCTTATGTCTAAAAAGAGCCTACAAATGTTATTTATCCCTTGACTAGATGCTCAGAATGTTCAGTGTATGTGCCAACAATGCAAAGGAGATTAAGACCAAATCTGGAGTTGAATGCAGAATGGCCACATTCTGCAGAAGGGAGAAACTCTCTTACTGCAAAGCACCAGCTCAGTCAATCAGTCAGCACATTTATTATGCCTGTAAGGTTATGGCAGACATGGAGTCCGTCCCTTTAAGGAACCTATACTGTCCTAGAGAAGCCAAGATGTGAGACATACAGCCCCACTCTAGTAACAGGTACGACAGAAGGCCACAGCAAAGAATGAGACGAGAGTGGGGCTTCCCAAAGGCAGGGATACCTCTAGCTGTGTGAAGGGAATGAATGAGCAAACAATAAATTCCTTGACCCCTTGCCCAGTAGTCAGTCCACTAACTCACCTCTAAGAAGAAGCCCTACTATGGGGTGGGCAAAAGTAGGTTTACAGTGGTGATACATGAAACATTTTATTCTTGCATTATTTTTTTATTAATCATTGTATTATTTTCCATATGAACAACTGTAAACTTACTTTTGCCTACCCCTGTACTTAAACCTCACTGATAATAATGGTCCAAGAGCTCTGTTCTCCTCTCTGCAGCTACAACAGACCTACCAGGAGCGCCTCTTTCTCGGCATTGTGCTTCCGCTGCTCCTCATACAGCTTCTCCTCGTACTGGCTGTACAGCTTCCTGGTCATCTCCCTCATCACCTCAGCGTTGGCTTCGTGGGAGGACTCCACCTGCAGAGAGACTCATTTCAGAGCGATGGCTTTGGCAGGTGCCAGGGCATCAAGTCTCGTCACTCTGTATGTGTCATCATGTGCGGACACACAGAGGAGTGGACGCATCGATCAGGGGGCCAGCCGTAGACAAGAGGTAGCAGAAACGAACGGCAAAGGACAGAAGATAGGAGGAGAAGGGGTGAACAGATGCAGAGAAAGGAAAACATGGCACTTTATGCTAATTTACTTGATATTATCAGAAAAAGGTGTTCTGCATAAGTGAATTTTTCAAAAGACAAGAACTTACATAAGTATTGAACCAGCCCCCCAAATTTAGCCATTTTTAAATTTCATTCTTTCCAAAATGTGGCCTTGCTCCACTAGCCTATTAACCTGTTTCTTAATGACTTTTTCTGTCTATTGTTCTTTTGATCCTGAAATTTGACTGTTTTTTACTCTATCAGTTTTAATTAATCTTCTCCTCTGGATAATAGGCCCATACCCTGTTGGCCCCAGAAAGATGTTTTTTTTTTTAATCCTTGAGTATTCTATTGCAGGCTGAGAAACTACCTTATTAGAATTGGGTCAGAGTAGAATAAACTCTAAAATTAAAAAATTATATGGTTATCAGTAGGAGGAAGGAGGAAGTAAGAGAGCAAAGGGGACACTACAGATAATATTCAATTTCTGAATATACTTTGTTTTGTAGTACTGACTGTGAAACCAAATAAATAATTTACCTGTTTTAAAAAACTAAACTTCAAAAGAATATCTAATCAAGAACACTCAATGGGAACAAAATAGCCTTTTCAACAAACGGTGCTGGCAGACTGGATAGACACACTCGAAAGAATAAAGCTGGATCCCGAGCACACCACGCATGAAACTTAACACACTGTTTGCGGGTAGTTTTATTGGGCGCTCTACTACCAGTCAATGTAAAACGTATAAATACGTTTCCCGCATACAATGTGTTAACTCAAAAATGGATAAAAGACTTACATGCAAAAGCTAAAACTATAAAACTCTTAGAGGAAAACATAAGGTAAATATTTGTGGCCTTCGATTCAGCAACAGTTTCTCAGACATGACATCAAAAGCACAAGTGACAAAAAAATAAACAAGGAAGCCTGTACGATCCTATTAACCAATGTTGTCCCAATTCTGGCCTCATAGTATTCAATATTAAAAACTTCTGGGCTTCGACAAACAAGCACTGTAATTATAGCTATTGAAATTAAATTTCTTAACAACAAAAAACTTCTGTGCTTCACAGGATACCATCAAGAAAGTGATGGAAGAAAAAACATTTGGGAGAAGAGAAGAAAATAACTGCAAATCTCCTATCTAATAACTTGTATCCTGAAAACATAAAGAATAATTACAACTCAATAATAAAGTATAAATAACCCAATTTAAAAATGGGCAAAGAATCTGACAGACACTCCAAAGAAGAGATACCAATGACCCACAAGCACTGGAAAGGATGCTCAATGTCACTCGTTATTGGAGAAATGCAGATCCACACCGAGAAACCACTTCACACTCACTAGGGTGGTTATCATCAGGAAGGTAATGAAACACACGGTGAGAATGTGGAGAAAGGGGAACCCTCTTACACTGCTGGTGGACATGTAAAATGCTGCAGGCATATCTCTAGGCTGCCTTTCATATTGTTTGATATTTTTCCCCCTACGTGCATACATTACTTTTGAGCACATTATGTCAAAAGCGTAGGGAAACCTTTGAAGAGAAGTTGTCCACACGGAGTTGAAGCTGTCCCATTGGTCGCACTAGTCAATCACTGAAACATTCCCACCGGGTTTGGGCAACACTAAACTGGGAGCTCCTCATGGCTCGGGAGGACCCAGTTTAGGAAAAGAGAAAAAGTCAGTGGGGTTGTGGGCAGGCAGGGCTTAGGGTGGAGGCAGCCCTGTCTTTGCCTGTGACCTTCATGTCTGTGACCCTTAATTTCAGCTTCTTGTTGCTGTAGAATGCTGAGTCTCTCTAACCCTGGATAAGTGTGATGTACTCCAACCTCGATGGGTTACATGATATTTACTCAAAGATGCCATCTAGGCCCTGGCCGGCCCCAGGTTTGCAGGTTGGATTCCCCGTTGGGGCACACACAAGAAGTAATCAATGAGTGCATAAATAAGTGGAACCACAAACTGGTGCTTCTCTTTTTTTCTCCCTTTTTCCCTCTCCCTGTTTCTTTCTCTCTCTCTCTCCTCACTCTCCCTCTCTCTAAAACCAATTTTTTAAAAAAGATGCCCCCTAATTCTCCTTTCTTGTCACTAGACATATTTTAGTACCCAGAAGCCACAAAATGGAAAATCCTGAACAGAGGTTACCGTCAGCTGAGGGAGACCCAGTGCGTCCTGCACCCCATTTCCACTGCAAACACAGACTTCTAGGAAGGGCTCCATCCCTTGAGTCCTGTTTCCTCTGCACCCAGGTCACATGAAACACTCTAAGTCTTACAACTGTATTTATTTGGGAGGTAAAGTAAAGCCTTAGTCCCCACAACAGGCAACTGTGGGCTGGATTTAGGGGCTTAGCTTCCCTGAGAGGAGCCAGACTGCCAAACTGCCTGGTGACGTACCCAGATGCCTGATGCCACCCCTGGGATAAACAGGAATGCCCAGGACGGACACACATAGTAGATATTCAGTACTGGGTGGGGCAGAAGTAGGTTTGCAGTTGTTTGTATGGAAAATTAATAAATAATTAAAAAATAATAATACAAGAATTAACTCTGTTTCATGTACTCACAATGGTAAACCTACTTTTGCCCACCCTGTATTTGTGGAGCGAAATACTGGATAAAGCTCCTGAGTTGGGAAAAGACTTAAAACAGTAATTTCAGACTTTTTCAGAAACACACCTCCTTTTCCCTTTTTTTCAAAGTAACTCTCACTCAGAAATATAACATGTGAAACAATAAGAAGAGCGTGGTGTTTGAAGTGACAGCAAAGAGGAGCTGAACGCTCTAGAGCTCTCCACCCCCTCCCCTTCCCAGGGGACTTGTGCCCGGCCATGTGGACGGTGATGGAACAACCCAGGGGCAGCAGCCATCACAGAGACTAGCACTGCAGTGGGGCAGCCCCTCCTCCCCATCTGAGGCAGCCCACAGGGAGGGAACCACACATCCCAGTCGGTTACCTTAGTTACATTCTTAATAGCTCCACCATTCACTCCCAAATCTATTCTAGTTTGAGCCATAAGCTATCTGGATACTCTACCCACAAGGCCCTCTCTTTCAGGGTAGCCTAAGGCTGAGTTGATTACAATTTGAAAACCACAGATTTAACTAAAGATGAATTCATTCAGGAAACAAACTGTTGAGTACCTTCTGTTTGATCTTCATGGGCTCCTGCCTTGGGGTAGAAAATCTGCCACTGTTTCAGTTGGGGGGGGGGGGGGCATCAGAAGCCCCGCAGGGGAAGCAGCAGTGCTCCAACCAGGTGAACAACCAGGTGGGCAAGAGGGACACTGCCTGGAGTCCTTGGTCACCCATCAGTGTTCTTTGTGTGTGCCCTTCAGCTCTTTATTGTCAAGCCACACAGACAGGACCAGGGCCTTAGAGAAATTCTGAACTGTGAAGATGCTGAAGTCCCAGGCCTGGGGGCGTCCCAGTGGTTCTCAGTGCTTACCAGCAATGCCAAGGTGCCTGTCTCAGCAGCCCTTGAGTCCTAGGGCCAAGACAGGAGTGCCCAGTGGGGCGTTTTATGGGGCACCCCCAATCTAGACTGACAGTTGTGAACACAGAAACCTCCAAGGTGCCTTCAAGCCAAGCCCTGCAGGGTTGGCCACAAAAGGGTGAGAAATTCAACAAAGAGAACAGAGAAAAGGAAACAGCAGAAGGGAAGATGGGAGCAGAGAGGAGAAGAAAAAGGAGAGAGGTTGGTAGGAAATGCCCCCCCCCCCCGCACCCCACCCCGGACTTGACCTTCATTTTCAGCAGCTGGTTCTCCATTTGTGCTGCCTCCAACTGCCTCTGCTTTTCCCGCAGCTTGTCCATGGACGCTTCATACGTCTGCTGCAAATTTCTGACTTGATCCTTAATGCTGCTATTTTCCAAAGTAACATCCACAAGCGTTTTCTAATGGGGTGTAAATGAAAACAATAGCAGATCTCGTGGCGCAAGAAAACATGACCAGAGTCACACACGCACTGGGGCATCTTTGTCATCAACCACCTGAGGAAGAGATCAGGCCACCAGAGACGTAAACCTGGGATCCTGCTGTTTGAAGGGCTGAGGGCCCCACGGTGGTCAAGAGGTCTGCCACTCTGTAGGTAGGTGGATGGGTGGGGAACCTCCCCCTGAGCACCTCCCAGCCACTGCTTAGGATGAATGGAAATGGAGTAACATGGAGGCTTCCAAGGAAAAGGGTTCAAAATACATCGTTTCACATGGAAAAAAACTGGGTTGAAAACTAGTAAGTATAGAACAAACTCATTTAAAACAATGTATAAGCACTTGTTCAAATGTGTTTATAGAGAGAAAATTTTAAAAGACTAGGAAGAAATTCACCAAAATCCAAATAATGGTTTTCCCTATGGGATAGGATTATAGATGACATTTATTTTCCTTTTTGGATTTTCTTTATTTTCCAAATTCACACAGTGAAATCAGAAGACAAAATACATGTTTTGTAGCATAGAGGTGTTTTTCCTTCTGTGCTTCCAGACTGCTTGCAAGGACAGAGACCACGTGGCTGAGGCTGCTGTAAAGCCTGCGACCGCTTCCCTTCCTCCCTCGGGCAGGGAAGGGTGGGGGTGAAGGAGCACCGGGAACAGAGCTCAGTGACTCAGACAAGTGCCTGACAAGTGTCAAAAGCCTGTTGATTATAGTCCCGGCCACCCACTGGAGCAAGAAATGTTCAAATGAGTAGTGTTGCTACTTATGCTTCCCATTCTACTTAGTTAACTCTCCTTACAAAGAAATAGCTTCCTTCCCAGAATTCCTACACTGGACACTGGGTTCTGGGCACCTTCTACTACCTCCCCGCCACCATCCGCAATATTAAATCAGGAGATTTGGAAACTCTGGTGTCAGACACTTTTTAACACCTTTGTCCCCTTTGTAGAGGATCGGTGTCTAAGGCTCCCTCCCCCAAATCCTTAGCCTCTACTTTGGATAAAAAGCCTCACTCCTAAACATACTTGAATCAGAGAAAGAACTTTCAAAGATAATAAATATGGAAGCCATTTAGAAGCATGGAATCACTGTACAATGAAGCCGCAAGAGGCTACAGAAACCATGTGGCCCATCCACCCCTTTCCAGACCCCACTGGCTTTCCTGATACTTTTCTTGCACTCATAAACCTACCTCTGGCCCAAGAGACCACAGTTCTAGTCCTGGCTCTGCCACCAGCTAGACACCTGTTAAAGTCATTTCCCTTGTCTGGCCTCAGTCTGTGTATCCTTAAAATAAGGGGGTTGGAGATCCCCCTTTCCAGCTCTGATGTGCTATGAAATCAAACCCGGGTCTGGTCTCGCTGTACATAATGATGAAAATGGGGTAGGACAGGCAATGGAAGACGTTGGGGCCTTGCAGAAATAAGCCAACTATCTTCAGACTCCATTGAGTTTCCTGGCTGTGAGATGGTACCATTGTTTTCTGCCTTTTTTTCTGCTTTTTTTTCTTCTTATTCCCCTACCTCCACTTCCTCCAATTCTTCTCCTTCTCCTTATTTTTAACAATGATTCTTAATCTTTTCCCTTAGAAGATTCCTCTGTCTGCCTGGGACTAAGGGGCTGGACCATAACTAGGAATCAGTCAAGGTGCCTGGGTAATGGTGAAGCCTGTCCTGACAGCTGACCTCTGAAGTAAATGCCTGGAGTGTCAGTAGCATCGCAAACCAGAAGTACCATGGGTTAAGAAAACCCGGAAACTTAGCACAGACACCACCCAGGGTGAGCTCAGGTGAGGTGCAGCATTTCCTAGTTGGCCAGGAGTGAGAAGAAGTCCAAGAGGAAGGAAAGGGAGCCTTGGCCAGACCCCTGACGGCAGGAGTCAGGGAAAATGAAGGCCACTGAATAAAGGTAGGGCTTGGCCTGCAGCCAGGGCACAACTGGCGGGCACCATGGAGCGCCAGGAAAAGGGTGGGACGCAGAGGCCCCACCAGAAATGGGCCTCCCAGACAAACCCAAACAAGGGGCCCACCCAGGCCCGCTGCGGGACAGCGGCCTAGCTTTGTTTGTGGCCCTGCTGCCCCAACAGTTGTTATTAGAGAAGACTAACTCCTGGGAGAAGTGGATAACCCGAACATGAACATTTGTTTGCTTATCTGATAAACTATTTATATAGAACCTGAGAGGATATGAAATAGCTTATGGAACTTTTAAGAGAAGGGTAAAAAAGATAAGAGCCAAATAAAGTTGGAGGCAGGGCAGAAACTATTGTTTGCATATTTGGAAACTAAAGCCAAGGGACACTGTTTCAGGTGAATATACGCTTTGTTTTGGTCATTTTCAAGTTAATTTGCATGTCAAGATGGGGAGGGCTCAGTTGGAAGAATAGCAGTGGGCAGCATCTGAGGGGTAAATTCCCAGCAAATCAAATTAATCAAGACAGCAAGCCCCTTGCAGGTGGTGAACAACGCACATTTGCACAAATGGAAGATCCTGGAGCTTTCTGCTTTCCTGTCTGGTACTACAAGAGAATCCTTAAAATGCACATGATTTCTTTTACTGTAAAATAATTTCTAAATTTGGAGAAAGTGCTTGACCTGCCATGAATAAACACAGATTGCCTTTGGTCAGTCTGTCTTTTCTGTGATTGGGTGGAACTTCCCAGAAAGCAGGGCTGCAGAGGGTGGGAGCTGATGTGCTGTTTTAGACACTGGCACTTCAGACTACTTGGGTAGCTAGTGGAGCAAGTGACATCTCCATCACAGAACTCAGGGCCCAAGCCCCCATTTTACGAAGGGCAAAAGAAATGCAACATGAAGGTTTAGAGCATCAGCTTGGAAGCGCTTCCCTCAACGCCTTCCTGGCATGGCCTTCACTGCAGCCACACTTAAAGGATCCCGAGTCATGAGCTGCAGATGTTCTGTTGTGACTTGCGTTTCACAAAGGCACGGGGTCCACTCTAGGCTCAGCTTGCTGGCACTATGACAGAGGGCACCCCATCTCACAGTGAGCAGAGGAATACCTGCAGGTCAATGGAGTCTGACGCCAAAGCCGAGTTCATGGCATTAAAGCTGTCCAGGGCCGATGACTGTGTTTGGATGTGACTCTCCAGATAGTCCTTCTGTGCCTGTGAAACCTGGACAGATGGAAGAGACAGTTACACAAAGCCAATCCATACGCACCTACAACAATCTTTGTTTAGGCTGGAACTGTCTCCTGATAGAAGAAACCACATCCACGTCAATCATATTTCATGTACGGCTTTAAATTTAAACAGTCAACATCTGCATGACCCACAGATCAGAAAGACAAGAATACTTTTCCCTTGGATAGTGTTTACACATCCACCTACTCGGCCTCGGCCCTCACAACACCACTGTGCAGCAGCCAGACGCTGCCCTTTACAGGTAAGAAAGAGAATCAGAGGATTTAAAGGATTTGTACACAGAGCTAAGAAGTGGCACAGCTGGAAGCAAACCCAGTTGTAATATCTCCTTGTGCCCTCCTGTTCTTTCTACACGCCACAGAAAGAATACACCTTGGGTTCAGCCAATTCTCAAGAGTCATTTTATGGCTGCTGCTGTTGTTGTGCCGTTTTTTGGGGGTGTGTGCATTTGACATGTTTGAGAGAGATCATCAGAGGCCAGTCTTGAGCTAGACCTTAAAGGAGGGCCACATGTACAGAAGTAGGAAGGCAGCAGAGCTGGGGGAAGAGTGCTGGGAAGGCTTAGGGGTAGACCCCTGTGGGGGCCACAGAAAACAGCCAGGCCCCAAACAGAAGGAGATGCACCCTGGGTATGGGAGACAGAGTTGGAACAGCAGTCCAGGACCTGGTGCAGGTGGCGTGTGTTTGTTCAAGGGCGTGTGCATAGAGCAGTAATTTAGCAATAAGTCTGACTGCAGTATGTGGTGAGGCCAGGAGGAGGAGGAGGCTGTAGGCAGGGAGACAAGATCCTGTGATAGTTCTAGCATGAAGAAACAAGGGTGTGCGAAGACTTGTTTACGAATCTCTTGCAAATTCAATCCTTTGACATTAATTAAAGTTGTTAGTGTCTGTCAGTGAATAGCAGAGTGAATTTCCGTAAGTAGGTGAGAATTTCACAAATCTCTTCCTACATGCCAGGGAGAATGAGCTTGGTGGAGATGTTTATAAACACTTGCTTCTATAATCGAGGCAATAGGTCTTATTTAAGCAGATACTCTCACGGCAAGCCTTGATGTAACTCTAATGCATGGCTGTTGGAACTGTACTTCTGACCTGCAATTATTAACCCTTATGAAGAGTATGTCATGTATCCATGGACTCTTTTTCTTCAAGATTATTAATCACAAATATTTTTTAAAGATTTTATTTATTTTATTTTTAGAGAGGGAAGGGAGGGAGAAAGAGAGAGAGAAACATCAATGTGCAGTTGCTGGGGGCCGTGGCCTACAACCCAGGCATGTGCCCTGACTGGGAATCGAACCTGCGACACTTTGGTTCGCAGCCCACACTCAATCCACTGAGCTACACCAGCCAGGGCATAATCACAAATATTTTTTAAATTTTTTTTCTCACAACCATTAGTTTGGTTAAACCAGAGGAAGGTTGTCTTTTTAAAAAATATTTGCATAGGTAGTACAATCACATAGTTTAAGCATTTTAAAAGGTATAAACTAAAATAAATCTCCCTGAACCACCTGCTCAGTTACTGCCTTCCTCACTCAGCTCCTCAGTTAAGAACCGCTGTTTAGCCCTCACCAGGTAGCTCAGTTAGTTAGAGCATCATCCTGATACACCAAGGTAATTTGTTCGATCACTGGTCAGGGCACATACAAGAATCAACCAATGAATGCATAAATAAGTGAAACAACAAATTGATGTTTCTCTCTCTCTTGTTCTCTTGCTCTCTCTTCTCCTTCCTGTTTCTCTATAAAATCATTTTTAAAGTAATCTGTTAATTACTTTTTTCATTATCCTTTTAACAACTTTTTGTGAACCCACAAAACAATATAGATACATTTATTTTCCCTCCTGTTTTATATAAGCGGTAGCACATTATATTTTCTTGCATCTTGCCTTTTCATCATCCATTCTATAATCTTCACACTTTCCATCCCTTCTTTTGAAGAGCTTACTCTTTTTATTCTTTTTTATTATTTTTCCACAACTCTTTTTTACAATTCTAGTGTAGAGAGAGATCATTTCTTTTACTTTCTCCTTCTTAATGGACGCTTAGGTTTCCAATGATTTTACTACTGCAGACAATGCTGTAATAACTAAGTTCATACATATGTCATTTCACATATGTGAGAGTTTATCTATAGAATAAATTCTTAGAAACAGAATTGCTGAGTCAGTGGGTATAGGCATCTATAATTTTGGTGAACAGTGACAAATTGCTGTGCGTAAGAGAAATCCAAAACTACCAGACGGCCACCACCCCACCCCACCCCCCCACTCCACACCCGCCGCCCAGCAAGCTGCCTGGTCCTCCACAGCACTGCTAATATGGTGCCTTGTCCCCTCTTGCAGTTTTCCTAATCTACGAGAGAAAAATTACATCTCAGGATGTTTTTCATCTGAATTTCTCGTGGAGAGTAAGGGAGACCATCTACTCATGCAGCTAAGAGCTCTTCATCTTTCCTTTACTGTCAATTACCAGTAACAAATATTTTGCCAATTTTTATGAATTATAGGCTTTTTTTTCTTTTTTCATAGGTGCTCTTTAAATACTCAGAAAATTGGCCTATTATTTACATGAGGGGCAAATAATTTTTCCCAGTGTGTCATTTGACTTGAACTGTAGTGTTTCTGACAGCACAAGTTTTTCATTTTAGTGTGGTCACAGTTATCAACCTTTTCTTTTTTGGTTTTGGTACTGCACGTCATAATTTTAAAAAAAGGTTTTCTCTACCACAAGAATACAAAAGAATTCACACATATTTTCTTCTGGCACTTGCAGCACTTGTAAGTTTCATTTTTTAGCATTTGTCCATTTGGAATTTGTTAATATATAACTGTGCCCCAACAGCAAACTCTGACTGGTCCATTTTTCTCCCTGTATATGAGATGCTACACTTGTTACACACTGGGGTACATTTCTGGATTTTTTAAACTGATGTCTACTTAAATTTTTAAAATCTATTTAAATTGATTCATATGCCAATACGACTCTATTTTGATCTCCAAGGCATTTTCACTTTCTTGTAATAGTTAAAGGGCTAATTTCTCTCATTGTTTTTCCCCCCAGAATTTCCCCTACTTTTCATATTTATTTTGTGTATACTTTGAAATCACCTAGTCCAGTTGTAGAAAAAGAGCATAAAATAAAAACCTGTTGGTATTTTGGGGTTGTGTAAAATCTGGATCCTAGCCTGACAGTATTGACATCTTATGATCCTAGCTGAGTCTTCCTCTGTAAGCACATGGTATGTCTTCCCACTCGCTGCGGTTTACTCCTAGATACTCGGGAGGTTTCTGTGGTTGTTGTTGCTGTGATTTCTTCTAATTCATAGGATTTTATAGAGTGAAGCCTCTTTGTATGTATCTATATATTAATTATATAGATTACTATATATAATTAATCTATATACAATATAGATTATTGTATATAGGGTATTGTAATTACCCTATATTTAGGGTAATTATAGGGTATTGCAATTACCCTATAATTAATATATAGATACATACACCCTGCTACTTTACAGAACTATTTTATTGTTTATAGTAGTTTTTTTTTCATTGGATCACTTGGGCTTTGGGGGTAATTATAAATAGTGATAGTTTTATATCTACCTGTCCAGTTTTTATACCTCTAAATTTTTTTCTCTTCTTTAATTCCATTGGCTATCACCTCAGACACAATGTTAAATGACAATGGTGACAGATGGCTTCCTTGTCTTGTTCCTGATTTTGGAGGGAATGCTTGGATATAAGGAAGAGTATTCTTGCTACAAAAAATCCTTTAAATAATAAACTTTATTCTGTAATAAAACTCCCTCAGTTCATTTAAAATATGATTTCATTCATAAATAGCATTGTAAACTCAAATATCTGCAGACACCAGCCATGGGGAGGGCGTTCTAAGCACCACCATCCCTCATATTCCCATGTCACTAAGCTATTGACTTACCGACAGTTCCTGGGTGATCTGTCGGATTTTCCGTCTCATTTCGTCGTAGTCTCCATACATTCGCTTCCTTACTTTTTCCAGAGTGGCTCTCACCTGCAGCCCACACAGATTACCACTAGTTAGATAACAAGCTATAACATTTTCATGCGAGATTGCCAAATCTTTTAAGAAACCCTAATATAAAAAGGGCTCCAAAAAACCAAAATCTTAAGAATAGACAGTTTGGGAAATTAAGGAATAAGATCACTCCTGACACCTAATTAGAAACCAAGGGAATTATATTTGTAATAATAATAAATATTAGTATTATGTAACTATAGCTATTAATAAATATTAATTATCCAAATAATAAACTCTGAAGAAAAAATGCTTTGTTGAAATTCACCCATCACCTTCAAACCACAATTCAGGCAAAGTTTACCCCTTTTCCTATCACAAATTTGTTACAAGTAGAAAAATTTTAACAAGTTGACTACAAACACAACATGGGTAAGAGGACCAAAAAACAAAAGCAACCTCTAATTTTCCCTATTTCTGCTCTGACTGCCAAGAAGCAATCCAATGTCTGGAATGTAATGCAGAGAAGTATGAGCCCTGGAGAGCCCATAATTTGGAAGTCAGTTCCTCAAAAATGACTGATAATAATACACGAGGCACTAAATATAACAGCAGTCAAGGTGATCTCCAAAACACACGTTCACAAAACACTGTTTGAGATTCTCTGCAGTGGCACTTACAAACAGTCCCCGTCTCCTCCCTTCTTCTGATGCCCCTAGGATGGACAAGGAGCTCAGGAATCTTCAGACAGAACAGGAAGGAAGTCTCACCCTGACCACCGTGGCTCAGTTGGTTGGGCATTGCCCCGCAAAGCAAAAGGTCGCCTGGTTAATTCCTGGTCAGGGCACATGTCTGGGTTGCAGGCTCGGTCCCTGGTCAGGGAGTGTGCCACCAAATCAATATTTCTCTTTCACACTGATGCTTCTCTCCCTCTCTTTCTCCCTCCCTTCCCCACTCTCTAAAAATAAATAAACGAGATCTTTAATTTAAAAAAAGAAAAGGAACAGGGAGTCTCTGAAATTTCTACTACAGGAAGGGCAAAGGCAGCCATTTGGTTAGAATGACCAGAGGCATTTAGGGGACAGCATGGGGGACTTAATCTTGAAGCTGCATTTGCAGAATTAGCACATTTTAAAATTAGACTGTATGTTTTTTAGGGATGACTGGATACTGCTAGAGATTTGGGGGGTGCAGTTAAGATGCCAAGCCTTCTCCAGATAAATCTAATAATAGCACACTTCAACAAAATAGAGACTCATAAACACAGAGAACAGATTGACGGCTGTCAGAGGGGCGGGGTTTGGGGCTGGGTGAAACTGGTGAAGGAATTAAACAGCATGAACTGGTAGTTCCTGAACAGTCACAGAGCTGTATATTATAGCACAGGGAATATAGCCAATAATATCACGATAGCTATGTATGGGGCCAGGTGGGTACCTGAAGCAGGAGGACCCCTCTGTAAAGTACATGATTTTCTAACCACTTTGCAGTATATCTGAAACTAATACAGGATAATACTAAATGTAATTGAAAAATAAAAAATAATAATTGTTTACTTTCTTGCCATTAACTACAAAAATTTTGGGAAAATGAGGCAAAAATCACTACTTTTCATTGTGGGCAGGCAGAATGCCTTTTATCGTGGCCCTGAGCTGGTTGGCATGCTGCTCTCCTGGAGGGGGGGGGGCAGGGTGGCTGTGATCTTGAACTGGTGGCAAATATTCAGGAAGCCAGCTGGGCCAGAATCACTCACAGCAGGAGATGACAAACAATCCCATAAATGCATAGGAATGAGCAGGCCAGGGACGGATTTGAAGCCAGCTGCAAAAGGGGGACCTGGAAACTAATTTTATGTTGCAGAGCACGATGGAGGTTGGCAATTCTGGTCAGAAGCACTCCCATGAGCTGGGCTCCTGTCATCCGGGTTCACAGTCAGCCTAAACCTGCTGTCTTGTCTTGAGCGATTTGCAGCTCTCCTCTCTGCTTGGAAGGTTTACCTCTGAAGCAGTGCCATGTCATCTGGGACATTTAAATGAAGGACTAAGTATTTCCATGAGAAAAATACAGAAAACTAAAAATGGCCAAGCTGCTCCTATATGGGAAAAATAAGAATGAGATACTCTGAAGGTTAAAAATTCCATTTAGGGAGTTGGATGACTGGAGATTTGTAGCAAGTGACTGTCCCACATGCCCTGTTCATTTGTATAAGTGTGTAGCTTTTCTGAACTTTATTTTCTCTGTTAAGCATTTATTATTATTTTTTAATCAAAACAAGATTTTTATTCCTTATGATTATACAAGTATCTAAAACCTTCATGAACCATTAAAGAAGGTACCCAAATTATTTATTATTTTTGATATTCAATAAATTTTTTTTAAAAAAACATGTAAAAGCTGACAACATGACTTTGTGTTTTACCCACAAACCCACCAAATAAAGTGGGGCACGCAAAGCTGGAGGTTCTGATCTTAGGGGTCCCTTCCTGTGTGTGAGTTAGCCCCATGACCTACGCAGGGGAAAACTGAAGACTAACGAGCACAGAGGTTTGGCTGGGCCTATCCGAGAGCAAGGTCCACAGGCACTCCACGGCCCTGCAATGCCCCTGCTGCTCGTGGGCACCTCTAGTCCACGGGTCGGGGTTTGGGGACCATCAGTGTCAGAGCAGCTCATTTCCTAAGTAATCACTCTGGCTTGGTCAGCAGAAGCATTCATAGGTCAATCTACTCAAGACTAAAAAATAAAACAAAGAAGAAATGGACATATATGAAGGATGGATGGACGGATACATAGATAGATAGATAGGAAGAAAGAAACAAAGAAAAAAAACATTTAGAAGGAAAATCTCCAAAATGCTAACAACTGCCCTGGTTGAATGGTGGGATTATGGGTGGGTGATTTTGTTTTCCTCTTATTACATTTTTGAATTTTCCAAATTTTCTAAAAAGAAACATGATTTAGAAAGATTAAAAATGTAATATGAAACACAAAGAAACAGCATTGACTGGCCTGGGTTTAACAATGTATATTGTGGTTGACTTCTCAGCCTCGGTTGCAACCCAACTGACTGGTCTTAACCAGCCACCATCATCCCATTCCCCTCTCCAGTGCTGGATTTGGGATGGGCATGTGCCTCAGCCCCGGCGAAGGAGACATGAGGAGAAGCCTAAGGGAGGGCCTTTGCAAAGTAACCAGAGATGAGTGGCTTCCTTTCTCCCTCTAGACACTGTCATGTTTTCAGACGATATTATGAGCCTGAGCCTAAGGAGGAAAGAACCAAGGGAAACTCAGAGAAACAGGAGTCTGGACATGCCGTGCCCCTAGACTTATCCCCACATGAGACAAATTTTTGTTTCTGAGTTGGCTTTTCTGTTGCCTGTATCCAAATGCATCCCAATTTATAGTTGTCCAAATTCATGCATTAGGAGTGTCCACTATAATAAGCAAAGCCACTTAAGAGCAAAACCACACTAAAGAAGAAAGTCATCGGTTTCCTGAGTAGCCCTATTTAGTGCCACCCAGAAGCTCACTCTGTGCCTCATTGCAGAATTACATTTGAACTCTAAACAAGACCATAAAGATATGTAGAAACATTTCCATCCAAAATGATAATGCTAAGAATTCTTCCAAAATGTCTTTTTGCATTCACATCAAAGCTTCCAGTTCCACCCTCTTATAAGCCAGAAACAAAGAAACAAGATCCTTAAATGACTCACATCTTTGATGTAGTTCATCTCTTCTCTCAGCTGATTGGTGGACCATCCATACACCACCATTTCCTTCTGCTGGTTTTGATCTGACCTTCGCACCACGCCATAGACAACACCCTGGGGAAGTTTCCTGGTTGGCTCCCCATTGCTTGGGCCAGGATGCTGGAAGAGAGCAGAGAAAGAAATAGTAATTCTTTAGGATGAGTGAAAACAACTGTAATAAAGGCCTGCTGTACACGGCTGTGCAGGCTGTGCCCAGCACTGCGGTGCCTGGCGGGCAGCGGGCAGAGGCCAGCAGAAACCCAGTCTCTGCTCACCAAGTGCACCTGGCATGGGCAGAGTCTGCCTTTTCCCTGGAGGACGAGCATCTTTCACTAGTTTCTACTAAGGCTTGTCCACCTACATAGAAGTGCATCTGCAGGGCCCCATCTTCCCAGAGTGGGGAGTATTTTTCTAATTCTCACAAAAGGACCAGATAGACTTGTGGTGTCCCCAACACCAAGAGCAAGTGTCTGAACTCTAACCTTCGTGGTAATGAGGTTTTTCTCCTTGTACCAGTTCCTCTGTATGTCTTCAACCTCCTCACTAAATATGTAGCCTGAAATGCACAAGGTTGAGACACTCAAGGGGAAATGTTGGCTGCCATTTGGCAGCCAAATCATCCTCTGAGGTTAGGACTGACCCTGGGGCCAGCTCTGAGAAAAGGACATGAGGCGAGTACCCAACCTGTGGTGACTACTCATGAAATACTGCTGAAAAACCAGACAGAGGGATGTAACTTCACTGTCAAAGAATCTTCCTGCTCCTTACTTCCTTCAGTTAAAGCTTTGATCAGTTTTGGAGGGCAAATACTCTTGGGAAGAGGTAACATGTCCAAGTCCTAAGACACCCTTCTAGAATGAAGGCTCAAGAAGTAGAAGAAAAAGAAATTAAGACTTGTTGAGCACACACTGTAAGCTAGAAAAATGTTCCTAGCACGTTTAATCCTCACGGCCAGCGTGTGACTTAGCGACTGCCCTCTCTATAACTGAGGAAAGTAAAGTTCAGAGAAGTAACCCGCTAACAACAGTCTCACATCTGGATTCGAGCCCAATTCTGCCTGCACCAAGTACACCTCCCCCCACTGCAGGCTTTGTTACATGTGGGGGGGGGGGGACAGAGTCAGGGCCTCCTCAGGCCTCCACAACCTCAAAAGAAAAGGGTAAGGAAAAAATCAAGACCAGGGACTGAGACTTCATTAACAAACTGGCTGACCCCCAATTTTCCCTGGGGGCTGACCCCAGCACTTTACCAATCACTGTACAGAAGCCTGAATCTGATAATGGCCACTCTGCTTTCCCACTGATGTTTCAGTCACCTTTGCATCAATTCTTCCCAGGCACTGGTAAAATATTTTGGCATACAAAACTGTAAACTGTATTTTAAAATCATTCATTTGTGGAAGAATAATAAATACCTTATGGTCTCATTCATTCAATGTTTAGAAAAGTTTAGAAAAATACATGACAAACCATGAATAGTGATGACCTCAAAGAGAGGGCAGCAGGGTGGGGCAGTGGGCTAGAGGTCGGGATGACTGTCAGGTTTTTCTTTATTCCCTTCCGTAGTACTTGCTTACAATGTGAGCTTTTTTAAACAGTAAGAAAACGGAACATTCATTGCTTCTCACCCTTCTGCACATACTTGGGGAGTTATGGGATATGAGGAGCTGTAACACTCTAAATTTGATTCTGGAAAGTGCTTCCACTTGAGTCTCTCACAGTTGGGTCCCACAGACACTAATGGAACTTTTGAAATCTGTACATCACATTGCGGTGAGTGGTCTGTGGATGAGTCTTGGTGGAGTGAGTGACAAGCCGGGGGTAAATATCCCTGCTTTACGAGGCACGTAATTACAAAGAGGAAAAGCTCTAATGAAACTCCCCCTGTACCAGGAAACAAAAGCATGTTCTTTCAGTCTCGGACTCCACCTGGTTCCTGCAAAACAAGCAAATGACGACATAAAGCTTCAGTGAAATGCGTTTCTGCAAAGCACAGGTTTTCACAGGTGCGTTGGCTGCCAGGAAAATGCGTGGGTGGCCGGACACAGAGGACTCTGCCTCCCTGCACGAGGGGAGATGAGCACCACCAGCCATGGGGGAAATCACAGACACCACCGGGGACCACAGGGTCTGTGAAACGCGGCTCTAAAGATGCAGATCTAAAAGTTATGCACACAGAAAGACAATGAAGATCCATTCAGTAAGAAATAGTAATTGTCATATTCTCATTTTTTGGTTTTAAAAATGTGTGTGCATAGTAAACATCTAGAAAGATGGAATCCAAACCTTTAATGCCCGTTTCCTCAGTGAAATTGGATTTCAATTTTTTCCTTTATATTCTTTAATTTGGGGGGCCAAAAAGACACTATTTTTAAATTAATAACATTTCAATTTTCAAAGAACTAAAAGTATTACAAAATCAGGGTCTAAAAATTATTATAAGATCGGAGTCTGAAAGAAAGACCCCCCGGGAAGGGCGCAGCACAGGACTGCGCTCGGCAGCAGGGCTGCTCCACACAGAAGGTATTTCTGAGGCAGCGTGAGGAGCTGCGGGGCTGTGACAGGGAAAAGGAAGGAGCATCTATGGAGAAAGAAGGGGAGAAATGTTTGTTGTCTAGCCATTTTATTATATAATGTTTTTTAATCCCCACAATAACCTCCTATGTAACTATTACTAGTTCTTCCAAGGTGGCAGCATTCGAGTGCTGTCTGTGTGTCCCCAAATGTAAGCTCTTTGACTACAGTGTCTTCAAAATAGTCAAGAGTCAGGAGAGGATCTGGAACTAACATGCCCACATGGCAGTCAGTCCTCTGGGTCCTGGGCCATTGGGAAGAGGCGAGCCCAGGATGGGGAGGCTCTCCTCCAGGCTCCCATGATCCTGCTCCCCCTCAGCCTCCACCCCACTCCAGCCTCACTGCCTCCTTTTAGTTCCTCCATCAGCCAACTTCCTTCTTGCTTCTGGGCATTTACACAGGCTATTCGCTTGGCTTCCCTGGTCCTTCAGCCTGCTTGGGTTCCCCGACATTCACTATCACCGTACTGAAGTGACCATTAGTAGCGTTATGTATGAAGGGCATGCTCCCCTATCAAGTGGAAACTCCAAGAAGTCTAGGGTCCTGTTTGTCTTCTTTTCCACCATAATCCCTGGTGTCTAACAGTGATTGAGATGCAGTGAGTTTCTCAATAAATATTCGCTGTATCAATATGGAGCTTTAGAAGTTGGAAGAGGTTCTGGGGAATTACCCGTAATATGTACATTGGGTCCAGCTGAAGGACACATCCTTGGTTCCTCTTAGATGGAAGAGCAACAGGGGCGCTGATGGTTTTTCCCCAATCATCAGTTTGATATCCAGCAAAGCTGCAAAGGAGCTGAGAGCACTATCATTTTTACCAGATGGCAGAATGCTTTTGGTCAAAAACTAGAGAACACAGAGAAAAATGAGAAGAGTGATTTTTGTCACTGTTTGTGGCTAAATTTTCCTGCACTCCTATCCTTTAAAATATCTCCCTATAAGATAAATATTAACTTTTTAGGCACGATAATAGCACTGTGATTACATTAGGAGATAGTTTTTACCTCTTGGAGAAATGTACTTAAATAAACATTTACGGCATCTGGGCACCGGGTGGAGGAAGTAGATGGCGTGTAGACAGAGCAGGACTGACCACGGGCTGAGGGTAGCTGGGGCTGGGTGAAGGGTCAACGACTCATTACATGCTTTAGTCTCCTTTTGTTTATGTTTGAAATTCTCCAAAATTAAGTTTTTTCAAACTTCTCTATAATGCTGCTTAGTATTAAAAACTCAAATTTTAAAAATGTACACTTGGCCCACTAACAGTCTCCAGGTCATGAGACAATCAATGCTGAGCAAAATCTCCTTGAAAATGAAAGCCGTCATAAATGCATGGAATGCAAGGAAAGTTATTGCTACGAAGGGAAAAGGAAACTACCAATAGAAAGGCCACCCCAGAAGCCCCACATGAAATGCAGCAGAATTAACAACAGGCATAATCAGCAAAACAGAGAGAGACTGTTCCCTGAGGTATAGCTTAAAATTCACTTATGGGCTCACAATATGGCTGTTTTCCCTAAAGATATATTTAGCGGCCAGTGCCTTAGAAAAAAGAAGCCATGGAAAGGTAACTCAGCCTAAATTCCTGCTATAAGGGCTTTAGGGAGGCCAGTGACAGGTGACCACATCTTCCAAACCCTAAATCAGAACATGTGATCTTACAATGAGATAAGCTCTGTCCAGGCAGAGATAGTATCTGCTGTATTTGCTGCTCTATCCCCAATACTCAGCATTAATAGATGCTCAATAAATATGTTTTGAAGGAAGGAAGACAGCAAAATATTTAGAATTGGGTCTATGCCAGAATACTTGGCATGTTTGGTCACCCCAGACACTGATCTGTGCAAAGGACAACAAGGGCCCTGGGGGAATAAAGAATAGCAGAACACAATTTAACATAAATCCAAATTGTTGGTGCCAACTGACCACTGCCAGCCCTGGCCCCAGAGGCCAAGCTGGGCAGCTGGTCGTACCTCCAGGCTGCCGATACCACAAAGATGGACCACAACATGACTTGAATGACTTGCAAACTAGAAGCTGAATTATGCTCAAAATGTCTTGCTTCAGACCTTGTCTTCCAGCCAGAGGGCAACAGCTGACCCGGGAGAACTGAGTGCTGGGCCGCTGAGCATGCTATCCACCCTTCAGGCAGGGCATCGCTTTCAAGAATGTGCCCTGACCTGTCCGACCTGTGTGCCCATCTCAGCAAATTACTAGGCCCTGGTCATTACTGATACTTGACATTGTTTGGCCCTGTGACAACAATGAACAAGACAGCTGAGCCACAGGCTACTAGAGAAATAGGGAAGGGATGGGCATCCCAGCCTCCTCAGAGAAATGGAAACCTTTGGCTTATTAAGATATACACTTCTGACGATCTCACATGCTGACAGAGACCCCTTCCAAAATAAAATCATACTTGGGGGGGAAAACGATCACTTTGAATAGTTAAATATTGAGAAGAAAAAGAAAAACTTCTAGTCATGCAGAAATCCCAAAGAGAATGTAGTTCTAATAATAGTATCCTGATAGGAGGTTACTTCTTAA